TCTCATGTGGTGGAAACTTAATCAGTTTAGGTTTCCTGTACTTGCTGTTATTGCTCGTGATGTATTGACTGTTCTCGTATCAACAGTTGCTTCGGAATCTGTTTTTAGTACCGGTGGGCATGTGCTTGATGCGTATAGGAGTTCTTTGACTCCTAAGGTCGTGCAAGCACTTATTTGTGCCCAAGATTAGTTACGTGGATTGGCACGTGGTGATCCGAATTTGATTGAAGATGATTTGGACGAGCTTGATAAACTTGATTTTGGTAAATATTTTATTTATTTTATAGTTTTATTTATAATTCAATTTATTTGATTTGTCAAAAATCAATTTACCATATTTTGTTATTTTATTCTTTAGAGTTGACTAATATTGCGTTGGAGACAATAGCTGAGTTTGAGCTTGAGTCGGATTAACATTTTTAGGTTATGTTATCATTAGGTATTATGCAATATTTATATTACATTTATAATTCATTTAGGTTATTTTACCATAAATATTTAGACTAATTATATATTTACTTTTAATATTTTTAGGAGCATGTTCTGCAAAATCATTACAAATTGAAGTTGGAGCCTTGGAGATTCATATTTTCGAAATTTAGTAATTTATGTCATTAAGCTTTAAGTTGTGGAACTCTTGTTTGTTTATTTATTATATGAAGACTAATGCTAATATCTTTGTGATCATATTTAATTATAAAACTTTTGAAACTAATGTTTACTTATTATATAAAGCTTATTATATAACTATTTGAATTAATAAAACAGACCCATGTTAAACGAAAAAAAATCAAATTATTTAACAAAAAAATTAATTTGAAATTAATGTCATTGTATCTTTAACTATTTTAGTCCATGGATCCTTAACTATTTTAGGCCATTGAAATTAATGCTGCCCATGCATCTTTAACCATTTTAGCCTATAGATCACAGCCTAAATCAATCCATTTTAGTCCAAGTCAACCTAAGTCAACTCATTGATCTCATCCTCAAAAATCGACCGAACCGACCGAAACCGAACTTCTAAAAAATCGATCGAAATCGACATTACATCGGTTCGATAAATTATATTATAAAAAATTTTAACTTGTTTTTAGTCAAAACCGAATCAAAATCGATAAAATCGACCGCTGCACACCCCTGCGAGCTATGGCCTATAGCCTATAGGCTTATCCTGGACAGACTGGAAGGGAAGGCGGGAGCCTACACTGGTCACGGTCACGGTCACGGACTCACAGCTTAAATGGTGGCAGACCAAAATTTATGATGGGAAACAGGAAAAGTCAACTAGCTGAATTGGTTCCACATCCAGTGAAGACAATCAAAAGAGGCATTTACGAATCAGTACCCTTCTTTTGTCTCCTACGGGATATGAACTTATGGTTCATGTCACCTTCAAAGCCAAGTTTCGGTCCAAATAAACTAAGGCACAAGAAGGCACAAGCCACAAATATTTTCTGCATGGAGCTGAATTCCAACATCTTGATTTGAACTGAAATTATTGCTTTGAAAATGGCGTTCAAGGTGTTAACTTCATGCTTATCTCACGTAGAGAATTCAATGCAGGACTCAAAATTCTACAAAACCGTTGATGGACCATAGGAGAAAAAAAAAACATTGACAATCCTCTAGGCTTAGCCCCTCACTTCTTAGATCTTAATTTTTTTTAAATGATTTTTTTATAAAATGGTATTAGCTCGAATTGAATTTAAATTTGATTTACGTCAAATATTTTAAAAAAAAATTGATAATAATAAAAATATTATTAAATAGGAAGCAGGTAAAATGATGATAAAAGTATAGTAAGAAAGAATATCCTATCAAATATTTTTTATAAAAAAAATAAATAAAATACTTCAATCTCATGTTGAGTACATTAGAATTTTAAAAAGCTTAGAAACATAAACGTGTATGAGAAGAACATAATAATTTCATGATAGAGATTAAGTGTTCAATTAGGTAAGATAGTGACTCAACCAAAATTTTCAGCCCAAATTTTATGAGCCAGGAATTAATCTAGTGGAAAAACAGCGTCCGAATTCTATACCGTACTGTATTTTGAATGAAAGGCAAGCCAAAATAAGTCATCTCTGGGTGGCTGAGCCTCACTTTTGCTTGCTTTCAGCATTCAAAAGCTTTTTTAACATGACTTTCCTGATTACTTGACCAGGAATGCACTCCCATAGTGATGCAAAACTGGGGCCTTGCAGCTCTCGGTCAAAAGAACATCCCAGGGCAGGCAGGCAGGCAGATGATTCAACAGCAATTTTCCTTCTGTCAAAGTGGTAAAGAAAGGGGAAGACCAAAAAAACAAAAGGCGTGGTTTCCCTCATATTCACGCCAAAGCCCACACCTCCCCTATTCAAATAGATTCCCTCTCTCTCTTTACCTGTAATATGTTCAAATGAATGGGCCATCACCACACAATTCTATTGCCAGGAACAGAACCAAGAGATGGCCAACAAAAGAGAAAAAAGGTAGGGCCTAACAGGCACCTCAAAAGCAACGCTGATAAGAAGAGTATCAAGTGCTTGTCTCTTTGTGTTCCCTTTGCCTGCTGCTGCTCACTCTTCCCCTTTATTTTTGACCAACCCTTGCAAAACCCATCCTTTTCATTTTTGCTTCCTCATGGCTTTCGTTTTCCTAGGTTCAAATTCTCGTTTGCACCTAACGTTCTTATTGTTATTTTCTTTAACTAGTATTTGTACTAAACCCCACATTAAATAAGTAGACCCACTTTTGCCTATGTTGCTTGATTTCAGGTTTAATTACTCTAATACAATTTGTAGTTTCTTTTAAATCAGCAAAATATTATCCTTCTTCTGTTCCCTTTTTGAGGCCTCAGTATTCAAAATTTTGAATCTTAATTTCAAAACTTTAAACCCTAACAGCAAAATGAAATAACTTAATAATAATAGTAATGTTAATATAAGAAATTTACTGACCATGTGATGAACGATTTGATCAATCTTAAAATTAGAGTCAATGAATTATGAACCAATTATAGACTTTTGGGTTCAATAATTAGTGAAAATAAACAGCAATTATACATTGAAATACGCCAAATGCATGGCTCATGCACGTATATATATGTGATAATTGAAAAAGAATCTGTGGAAAAGGGGCATTGGTGAGCAAAAGCGTTTGAGGATTAGGGTCAGGAGTCAACATCTTTGAACAAATTAAGAATACGCTCAACTCAGAAAATCAATTCTCCAGCCAAATTTACTCATTTCAATGAGAGAAATCCTATCCTCTCTCCCTTGTTTCAGTATCGTCTTTTTCCTTTTCAGGTTTCACTTTAGTCACAATAATTCATCAATAAATACCCCCTAAAACCTTACCAACTGCCCCCTTCTTCCTTGTTCACATACCAAACCTCTCCTTTTCTCTCTTTCTGATCCATTTCTCGTCCATCGGGAAGTTGTCTCCTTATCCCAAGTCTAGGAATGTCGAGAAGAACGAGCAAAAGAGTGAGTTTCAGTCCGGACGTCAATGAAAGGCCGACGATCTTACTGAAACATGGGGGCAGTACCTGCAGAACAAGAGGTAAAAGAAGGAGGGTCGTTGCTGGGATTTTTACGTTTAGGCTTGTGAGAAGCTCAAGGTTTTCACCAGCAAGATTGCTGAGGCGTCTCGGAGCTAAGGTTGCAAGAGCTTTGCGTTTTGTATCCATGGGAAGGAACTCTAATTCCCATAAGGTTTCTTCTTCTTCTTCCAACCTGGCCAGGTCACGATCCCTTGCAGAATCTATTGACTCTCATCGTGCTGAAGCTATAGAAGATTGCATCGAGTTCTTGAATTCTTCTTCATCTTTGTCCAGATCAAACTCGGTTTCTACATGTTCTTGCTAGGGAACTGCAGTTACTTGGGGAAAAGAAAAATTATGTAAATGAAAGGGAAAAAAAAGGGATTCTATATAATTCATTGATCATTTAATTTCCAGTGTTAGATGTAGAAAATACACTAGAAAGCAATTGAATCTTCATCCTGGTTTTGTACTTATGATTACTTGATTGATCAGTTTAAATCTCAAATCATGGAGAATTACATTACATTAACTTCTGAGAGAAATTAAAGATCCACCAGACCAACTTTATGCAATATAATTCTATACCATGTCCTGGTCTCAAATTCACCAGACAAGTAGGAGGTGATTGATGGAGAAATCTATGGCAGGGCCACCGTGGACGGTTGAGCCTGAACAAATATTCAAAGGAAAAGTCACTGTCAGGCCCACAGCTGAAAGCTCAGCAGGGCATCCCACTTGGTTTCTCATTTATTTTAGTTCTTTGAATCTGAATGATACAAGTTTCCCAGACCAATTTGCTGCAGATTACGGTTCATATCATTCACACAAGATTTATGTATCTGGTTCTTAAATAGTTCTAAATGCTAGCAGAGTATCATAAAATGAAGAATTCTTACAGAATTTGAACAGGAATCTTAACTTTGAATCATAATTCTACTTTTACAAACTACAATGATCATTGTTTGGAACAAGATGCCACGGAAGGATTAGGATGGCTGATAGTTCGAGGGACAGACAGCCCATTATGAGATAGAGAGCACTCCACTTTGTTTTCTTGGAAAAAATAAAGAGAGAGAATATAATGTGTAGAACAAGAACAGTAATCATTGTCCCTCCTCCATTAATAACTTGATACTGCAATGATTTATCCATTTCTTAATATATGTCCATCTAGTTAATGCAAGTTACAGTTTGATCAAGAATCCGAAGAAAGCTTTTCAAGGTCTCGGATACATAGACTGGAAGCTTCCTTCATTCAAGAGCTCTCTTATAGGGATGGGCCATAGGTGGCTGGACGGGATCCAAGCCCTGGTAAGTTCCGTCAGCAACTTTCGGTACTTAGGTCTCCGCAAGCTAAAAATGGGATATAAACCTTATTCGGCTTTGATCAAGAATCCAAAGAAAGCTTTTCAAGGTCTCGGATACCTTGACTGGAAGCTTTCTTCATTTCAAGAGCTCTCTTATAGGGAGGGGCAATAGGTGGCTGGACGGGATCCAAGCTCTGGTAAGTTCCGTCAGCAACTTTCGGTAGTGGGTATGAACGGTCAGAGTCATACCCACTTAGGTCCCCACAAGCTAAAAATGGGATATAAACCTTATTTGGCCCTTCTAACCATCCACTACTGCAATCTGCCATATGAATAAGTGAAACAAAAATATGAATATTTTATTAACGAAAAGAACTATCCCAAGTATCACAAAATTTGAACAACTATGAATTTCAAACAAGCGGGAAAGAGGACTCTTTTCCAACAATGATGTCCTACCAGATAATATGTCAGCATAAAATGCAAATTTGAGTCAAATGCTTTTTCTTGTGCAAAAATAAATAAATAACAAAATCCTTTTAGATATCACTTACCTAGATCATCTACACCTGAGGGACTGCCCACCTTCTCCAGGAGGCGATGTAAGTCTTTTGGATTAAATCCTTCAGGAGGGGAATAATTCTCACAAACTGCAAATGCCTCTGTATAACAAATAAGACTTAAGTGTCAGCCGCACACTATGACAAACACAGTGAAACCACTTTCTACTTATTGTCAATTTGTTTAGAAATTGCTGTGAAGTGATGAATCCAAAGAGGGGGAAATAAAAGAGGGTAAGAACGGGGCATAACTTATAATCTATAAATTCTGCCGTTTATGTAAGTCAACATAGATCATTCCACAGGTTTCTATTGCAATGAATGAGAAATGTCTCAGGTTAACTGAAAGGAGAAAATATTATGTTGCTATTACAAACAACTTTAACAAAGTAGGGAAAAGAAACTGTTGGTAGACTCTAAGGAAAATAAGACCCAAAAGTATACATATGTTCTTAGGAAACAAAGAGGATAAACCAAGTGAGCTGCCAAGGACAAGTCCACATGTGTTTATACATGTTACTCTTACCTATGCTGGAGTTTCTGCTGCTTTTTGGTTTTGCAAAAGTCACTACAGGGAAAAATAATTTCAGCTGCAAGAAAGAAGCAAAGTTGAAAATGAATGTATACTGAAAGAAAATTTATCCATTTAAGGAATTGATTGTTGTAATAAGCTGTATAATTATATCTCACAAGCTTATGTATGATAAGCAATATAATTATATCTCACAAACTTATGTACTAAGTTGAGAGTTTTTAGAATTCAATTTACCTGGCAATACAGAAGACTAGTGTCTTTTCCACGAAATATTTTTGCAATAAATTTTCCACCTTGTTTAAGTACGTGAGTAACAATCGTTAAACCCTGCATGAATATGCAAAATCATAAATTGGCAAATTTGGGGAAAAGAAAGAAAGTATAAGATATAAAATACAGAAGAATTATGATATTTAAGCTCTATCAATGGCAGGATCTTGATAGGAAAAACTATATGATGAGGCGTTATGACATCCATGCCCATCACACAATCCAAAAATAATTCACAAATTCTGAGTTTCTAGTTAGAGACACAGGCTAATATTAGAGGAATCGGAACGCTTACAGCAAGTATGAGTTGGGACTGAACAAATTCATCCATGTCATGAAGACCAGTAACTGCAAGTCCAGAGGGAATAAAGCAATTTTAAAAAGCTTAAGGGTCAAAACTGAAACAACTACAATCCTATAGACATAGGCTGAGAAGTAAAAAACCAGAACTTTTGTTTTACCATCAGGAGCACCATCACACACAACAAGATCAGCCTTGCAGCCATCAAAATGTCTAATTACCTGCAAATGACACAAATGAATAACACATGATGGAATATATACACGTTCAACAAACAACATAAGGTCAAGCAAATTAAACCTTGAGTAGCATGAAACAGACTCCAAACAAGGCAATCAAAAATATGCACCATCCATATTTTCCAACCCCACCATGGTGATAATGCACAAGCACTGTGAGTATTGAGTCATCATAGATTATAAAAGTGGATCCAAGTTGACATTTGCCATGTAATTGTCATCAAAATATCAGACTTATATTAGTAAGCCAATGATTCAGATGCAACATCCAAACAAGATGCAAAATAGCTATCAACTAATATAAAGAAACCCTTGCCCATAATACTTGGTTCTCTGTCCCGAAGTGCTTGGGCATTCAGGCAACTTCCTAACATGCTATCATCCAAAAAAGATACAAGAATGGCAAATTTCTTCGCATAACAAATTGAAAGACACATGACAAAGATTTCAAGGAAAGAAAAAAAAAAAAGTATCCTCACCACTTCAGCAGTTCGGGCATTAGTTATATCACCCTGCACTTGAATTACACCTTCAATTGGAGCCATTGGCTGCAAATCAATGGCAACAATAAGAGGAAGATCACCATCCCTGCAAGTAATGACAAAGGTTTCTATGGTCACAATGGAAGGTAGTATGCATAAAGATCACCATCTCATGTACAAAAACTATTAAAAACAACCATAAAAACCAAAAAAGAAAAAATGGTAGCAGAAAATTATACTTCTGAAGAAGAAACAATGAGCAGGCAAGACCAAACTACAAAGTATATACATTGGCATGCGTCTTTAGGCAAAGAAATAAACTTCGACCACATGAATCAGCATGTGACATTTTCTTTTATAATCCTATACTCTTTGAATCAGAAAAAAAGGAACTTACTTTGAGTCAGGGGACTGCTTCGCAGGAAGATATAATGTCCGACTCAAGACCTGTCGCATTATCAGCAAGCTAGAATAATAAGGCAAAACTAGTTAAGGTGGCGAATTGGGGTATCAGCTATATCACTGAATGAGTAACAAACCTGACTCCAGCTACCGGGGGCAGCACACAAATCCACCACGCGCTTTACTCCTATATATCAATCAAATCATAATCAACCCAAATTGAATACAATCATTTTAAGGCATTTAGAATATAATTTTTCAAGAATTTGACCTTCAAAAATGTTGAATTCTTCGTCTATCTGAAGAAGCTTGAAGGCACTTCGAGCACGCCAGCCTTCTTCTTTTGCTTTCCGATAGTAAATATCCTGCAAATCAAGCAGCTTACCTTTTGTTGCAAAATCATCCAATATCCCATTAAAGAACTTTTTTACTTTAAAAAAAAAAAAAAACTCACCCTTTTATCCCTGGAAGCTTTGCCCATAGCTTCAACAGTTTGCTGACTAATTTTCCTGAAACAACAGGGACTTGCTAAATTCTAAAACCCTCCGGTCGAGGGGGACTCTGGGCTACATAGTAATTAAAGATAAAATTAGGGGTATCTTAGGGATCCAATATTTCCATGTATTCTTTTGGGTTGGGCCAGAAACCGGTCTGGAATAGGGAATGGACTTGTTTGGACAACCAAGAAGTACAGGTACTAAGTTAAAGTAAAAATTACATGTCGCGAAAATCACGAAAACATAAATGATATTTACCGCTTGGATAATAAAATCAAGTTAAAGTATGGATTTATATTTACGCATCTTTTATTCATTTTTGTTTCATTTTCCGTTCCAGTTAGGAAACTTTTAAGAGTATCGGTTTTCTTTTAATGCCGATTATGTCCGATCAGCAGCAAATATCTGTGGAATTAGAAACAATCTGAGGATACCAAACCTCCCTGGAAAACGCCACATTCATTGCAACGCAGCCCCATTGAGGAGATTACCATTTCGATCTAACTTCTTGAATGGCAGGCATGTATCACAGGTTCTATTTTATCGAAATGATAAAGAAAAAAATACAAACAAAGACTACTCAATATCATGGCAGAACAAAAAATACAGCTGCATAAGCAAAAAAAATGCAAACAAAGACTACTCAAAATCATGGCAGAACAAAAAATATAGCTGCATAAGCTGTATCAAAAGCTCAAATGGTTAATCCAACATAATATATGACACAAATGGAAGCACTTCATTTTACTAGTCTATAGTTGTATGAAAAACAACAAGATCGAAGAGTGAAAAATCTCAAGTTTAGAGCCTGGTGATCTCTGATTGCAATGTGAAGAATACAAAATCTCAAGAATGCAGATCCTATAAAAGGTACTACCACCATTTGCGCAAGCTTTTGTCATGAGCGGAACTCCAAGCAATGCAGATGATAACTCAGCTTGAACCGGCAGCTGGGACGGGTGCTGGCTTAGCATCCTCAGCTTTCTCATGTTCTTTGTTTAGCATCTGAAAACCAAGTTGTGCCGGTCAAAACACACTTCACGTGCTTCAGAGTGGTTTAAACATAACAGGGGAATCGGGAGAGCTACTCACCTTGTTATTGATCAAGTTATGGAGCGCAATAACACTTCGAATGAGAGATGACAGATATATAACCAACATCATATCATTTGTTTTTACTGCACAAAAAGCAGAGAATATGGGTTGACGAACTTCAAAAGTTAACACATATCCCTATCTAATCCAAAAGAAGATGAGCATTTTCGGCAATTTTTGGCATACAAGGGGTTTTGTATTACCTGCAAAAGCCTTGATTAATTCATTTACATTTAGATTTGGCAGCAAGTTGAACACATCCTGCAGTTTTAACATAGTAGAACAATAGTAAGGCAGATGTTAACCAACATAGGTTCATAGTTATATGCCCTAGTCTTCGTTCTAGATAAGATTTAATCAAGTAAGCAATGTCCAAGGGATGAATTTATGCTGTCAAGTATTAGAGACCTAAAGTTCATAACTGCAAAATGTCTTTTAACTTTGTTTTCATCTTTCACAAGTTAGTTTACCTGTAAATGGTAAAGTATTTCATGATTCAGAGGTAGTTTCTCATCAATAACAAGATCAAGATAAGCACGTATCTCTCGTAACCTTGCATCCAAACCTTTCAAAGCTGTGAGCTTTCCAGTGACCTGTGCATAAGACCAAAAGGTGTATAAATGCACTCCCTTTGTTATTGTTCAAATAAAGTTTCAACTATCCATGAAACTAGAAGCTTTAATTATCATATCAATTAGAATTAACAAAAAAACAATTACGAAGAAAGAAAAGAAACCTCAGTTGCAAGCGTACTAATGGTAGTATCCTTTACATCTCTGAGCAAGTGTTCCACTCCTGTTGGTGGGCAAAAGGGAGTAATATTGATAACAAAATTAATGGTCAATAAATCCAGCCAACTAGCATTTCTGAGAAGATAACCCAATTTCATCTAATGACATACCAATCTCCTCAACTTCATGAGCAGCAATTTCAGAAGGAACATGAACAAAAACCTTTTGGCTCTTTTGAGTAGCATTCTGCAACATTACAGTCATATTAGTTCAAAGGCCCACCAAGTACGAACAAAAGGTGGCCGTTTCTAGAAAAAAATTATTGTTACTTGCTTTCCCACTTAACAGCCAAAGGACTACCTGTCTTCCTCAACAGTTAAGCCTGTCTCTCCATCCCACAAAAGTAAAAAAGATGTGTCCCAAAATTGTTCTTACCTCCTTAACTTCTTCAACATCATAGTAGGCCTTGGTTGGTATCCCCAACTCCTTAGGTTGGACATCAATAATGACCAAGACAGGATTTGGGACATAGCTACAACACGAAAAGAGCTTGATCAAAAGAATGAACTCCACAAATGAAGTTAAAAATTGTACAAAAAACGACAACCAATAGAATCTTACTTGTGGAATAATCTGTGAATGTCTAGATCATTTTCCCGTAATTTTGGGCCAGTACTATACCAACCAACAACATGCTCCTTAGCTGCAACAGTTATCACAGGTTCACATATCCAGAGATAAAAACTAAAACAAGAAAGGAGACAGAATATATAAACTAAACTTAGCTACATTGTTAACTGAAAGTTGAGAAAGGAATTACCATTAATCCTTTTGAACATCGAAAACATTGATTCATGGTAGTTGTGGTCAAGGAACCATATATTCGGGTCCTTCTCATCTTCCTCAAAAGGCACTGAAAATTCAGCATTCTATCATTTAGACATGATTATAGTAATAATGGTGAATTAAGGGTTAATAAAAACTCAATTACAAGAAACTACAATATCAATGCAATGGAAATGGGTCACCGCATTTTATCAAATACTTCTTTAATGCCACCTACTTCAATAACATACATTTCTTTGTGCTCATTTCCAGAAATTCAGGAAAACAAAGAGGAGACTTTCGTTCAAGCAATCCAACAAACTGCCTCAATTCAAACTCAAACACTTTCCGCTAAAAACCCTAACACCCAAAACTCAGACTCAAAAACCTAAATTAAAACAACTAAGATTTCAATTCGAACTTCAAATCAATCAGCGACCCAGCAAAGATAAGAACATAAAGATTCCTCTGAACAGCATAATCAAAGCAATCCAAACAAATCAGATCTAGAACGAAATTCCCAGAAATCCAAAACAGAAACACAGTGGGGGTAGCACAAGAAGAACAAAGGGGTTAAAGGGGTAGAGGCGGGAACCTGCGTAGCTGTTGGTGACGTCAACGGTGCCCTTGAAGGAGGTTCCGAGCAGGACTCCGACGACGCGCTTGCGCGTGTCTTTAGCGACGCGATTGTAGTTGTCGACGATGCTGAGAAGAACCAAAGGGTGGACTATCACCTTCTCTATCGGCCGAGACGATATTTGCTGAGTTTTTATCACATCCATTTCGAATTTTAACTCTTTTTCCCTTCCCCTTTTCCGATTTCTTTTTTCTTCTTACTCTGCGATTTCTCTCTACGGAAAGTCTGAGCCTTTTTTCCTCGCTTGCTAGCTAGCCTGCTTTCCCTCTCTTCGTCTCTACCCAGAGTATTTCTTGCCGCAAGGGAAAACCAACCTAACGCGAATATTTTCCACGTGGCATCTAAAATGTTCATTTCCAAAAATATTAAAGTGAGAAATTTTTAAAAAAAGAAAAACAAATTATTATAGGATTTAACAGTTATCCAATTTATTTGTTATAAGATAATTTCATTATACTTTATGTCATTTTAAAGTTAAAGAATATATTAAATTAGTGAGCATGCGTAATTGGTTTTGTTTTCAATTTGTAGCAACTAAATTTTTGCCTAAATAATGAGTTTTGATGTGTGTGTTAGCGTTCAAAATTTCCTAAGGTTGCTACTAGCCGGATCCTCGAACAAATTAAGATATTTTAATCAATTTTTAATTTTTAAATATTTTTTTGATAATACAATTTAATTAAGATTTAATTTTTATGATCTTATGTCTTCTTGCTATAATAATTTGCTATAACTAACCTTGCTAGAATATTTTTTCTGTAATAAAATTGTATTGGTAATCAATTTTATGAGATTTATGATGCAAAAGTTTACATGTAAGATTACCATAGGAATAAACTTATGGGCTCACGGCTTGATCCTGCCTTGGTCAGGACATTGGAGAATCGACCCAAACATTGGGTTTTAAATTATCAATAGATTGGCTTTGGGCTTGTCAGGCATGGGCCTCCTGTAAGAGGCTAACCATTGCCCATGTTTTCTGTTTAAATGTCGCCTTTGAGGAAAAATATTTGATCTATTTGATAAGTTTGATTTTATATTTTAAAATATTCAATTAATTTAATTTTTATAAAATTAATCGAAATCAATGGAATTATATTTTATAATCGAAAATACTTGAAATTGACTTATCTTGATGGGTTGATTAATAATATTTATATAGTTTTTCAAAAAATATTATATATGTAAAATATATTTAAAATACTTTTTTTAATATTTCAATAATAATTCATTAATAAAATCTAAATATCTTTAGTTTAATCGTGTATATATATTTAAAAAATACCCGAAAATCGAATCAAATTCAATCGATTTTGATCAATTATTTTGATTTACATCGATTAATGCTAAGTACACTTTTAACTAAGCCATGTCAATGCCATGGGATGGACTCCATTTTCTTTAACATTTTGTGCTAATCTTTGTACCTCCAATCCCTTGATGAATGGTAACATGACATTAAACAGGTCTCAGAATGGGCCTTCTCTGTCGCAGTGAACATACCTTGACTGCTTCCTGGCTGGACCTCTTCCATTTACGAAGCATATGAACAGAGAAAATGCAACGGGTCCCCTCCCCCACCTCATCCCCTACTGTACAAATGCAATGGCCAATGGCTTTCATTTGTTGCTTTAATTTGGATGAACGGAATCCAGTTCAGTTTTAGGTGTCAACTGACCAACGTGGGTCCAAAGATCCCAACTTGTTGTTAATAGCCTAATGGTGAAGTAGTTGGATTCTTGGAAGATGGAATTTTCCTCCATTTCCTCTTCTGTTTTGGCAAAGCTGAAGTTCTAAAGAACACTCTCTGGCAGATATGGGTTGAAGCCAGATCATTTCATCTTGGAGTTTGGCAGTAGATGCAAGCAAAGCAGAAACTATCTATAGTATTGGTAACAAATTGGCCATCAGAGTTTTAATAAGGTGGATCTCTGTAAAGAGTATGAAGCAACTCATCTTTAGCAGCAATGTAATAAATGTTCAGTTCCTGGCATTAAACATACCGAAGTTCAACAGCTGGCTGCAGCTGTGAGGCTGCCTGACAGTTGTGGCTAACATCACACTGCCGGGTCGTGAGCAACGTCAGAGTAGTGTAGCAAAGTTTCAATAATTTTCTGCCATGCCCACTTGCATTATCAGTGCACAGAAAAATATATAAAAAGAAGGAAAAATACTCAAAAGTCTAAATTGATTTATGATGCAGGGATTGGAGTCGGTTTTGATTATGATTGTGATATATGATTTAAGTAAGATTGTGATATTTTATTTTGCATTAAATGTAAACGAGATTGTTAAAATTTATATAAAAGATCTAAATTATCACTACCAGTAGTTTGAGTTTGAATTGTTAGGAATCACATGGTTAGAATCAAAAAGTTATTAGACTAGCAGAACTTAAACCCGGATAGTTACAGCCCAACAAGATCTGTTCAATGGAGGACGATGGGAATTGGTCCCCTTTGCCAGGATGGACCAGTCAAATCCAAAACAGTTGAACAATGTTTATAATATTTGTTGCCTTTACTTCTCTGAAGTAAAGCCAAATCTGGATTGCCTTGTTCACTGTGTCCGCATCAGATAACTCCAAGAATCCATATCAGTGATTCAATAGTGGTCATGTTGCTCATTTGCTTACGCTCGATGGGAGAGATTATGGAAGATGGGAAGACCTTCAATTTGCCGATTTCAATATCTTCATTTCTGGGTGTTGATTATAAGAGGGAATGGATCAATTAAAATCCATGTAAATTGTAAGCTAACCTTGGAGACATTAATGGTCTGGTTAAGTCTCTAGCTCTCTGCTAGGTCAGAACACAGAGCTGGACAATTTCATCAAATTATTGCGCGTTATTCCTTGGCCCTCAAGCTGGCATTGAGTCAGAATAAATTCCTATATATGCAAACTAGGTTGTTATTCAAGCATCTCAACCTGCCCCTACTCAAAAGGGAAAACAAAGGCAAAAAGCAGCTACTGAATTTATCTATTATCTAGAATTTGAGGTCGGTGCATTAAAAGTAGAAAAGAAACGATTTACATTGAATTCTATCCATTCACAAACTAACTATAGGAAGCCATGCTTTTGGTTACATTTCTTCATTTGTTACTTCGATAGGAACTTATTGATAGCTATTCATATATTAACTGTAATGTTTGTAATCAGTTCCATTTATAAGAAAGATTTTAAATTTTTTTATTTAAGATTTGTTTTAAAATTAGAATAAGTACACGACACGATCATTATAACTCAAATCAATGCGGCATTCATTACTTGGTCTGAATCAATGTCTGGTATATCTAGGTCGCAGTACACCAAACCTTAGGGCCACAAAGCAAGGTAGTCATCCTTATCATAAATTTATCATGGGTATGGCTACGGTAGCACCACCACCATTGGTAAGGATATATGCTGATCACTGAAAATGCAGATAGGATAGCAGAAACCAGTGTGATTGCCTCATTGGGCATTGGCCCCTAAAACATTACAGATTTGTATGTATAAAAATAATAGGAAAATATACATATTTGTTATTTTTATAATTAAGATAACAATCAATTTTTTATTTGTTAAGACAAAGTTTTCAACATAATGGCAAAACAAATAGACAAATTAATATAAATTAATTTGCTTCTGAATATTCTGATCCTTTTTTCCTTAAGCTTTTTCCTTTTCCTGTTCTTTTTCCTTCTTGGATGGAACACGACCATCGGTTCCTGCCATCATAGCATACTTGTCCTTCCTAGTCAAGTTAGTGCACTCGAACCCCAGTGTCCCAGCCAGCACCCTTTGTATGTAGTTTGCAACCTCGATGGCTGATTTTCCACCTTTGCAAGTGAGCTCAGCTGGCAGCTGGTTCAGGAAGGTGATCTCGTAGGTTGGCATTGGGTTCATGAAAACAAAGTAAGGATCCAAGAGCTTGTGTCCCCGAACTGTTGTTCCGTGAAAAACTGTCTGTTTCGTGTTGATTGCGACCGGCACAATCCTGTCTGTCAGTTCAGCAAACAGTGCACTGAATCTCAATAGAAATGGCTCTCTGCAAGTAGTCCCTTCGGGACAAATTACCAAATCACCTTCCTCCAGGAGGCGCTTGATGTTAGCCGCGTCTCTCTCTCTTTCCCTGGATAAAGCAACAGCTCTAATGGGGGAAATAATCTCTGTGAATTTGCTAATGCTATAAGTAACGCAGCTAATCTTCCTGCCTAAGGCAACAGCCGTGACAACTGGGTCTAACACTGTTCTGTGGTTACAAACAAAGAGGACTCCGCTTTGGCCTTTCTTAGGTGCGGGTGGAGGATTACCCTTAACAATTAGTTTGATTCCTAGGATTTTGTAGTTGTATCGAGCAATCCTCTCCGGCAAAGGGATGTTGAGGTAGACCCTGAGCAGGGAGAGGATGAAGCCTATAGGTAGCCATAGGAAGGTCAAGAGGGCAGCCACGGGGGTAGGTCTTTGGACCAAGCGACCTTCATGAAATATGATAGGGCTTAGAAGCTTGTTCCTTGGTAATGGATCGCACTTGCTTCTTGGCACCATGTATCCTTCCTGTGCATTTAAAAAATCAACGTATTATCAGTGAATCAAATGTTACTATTTTAATACGAAAACTTAGTTAATTTGACTCGATCAATTCATGAGAAGAGTCAATATCTTTATGACAACATGTTATCTTCGTGTACGACTTATTTTTCCTTCTCAAGGCATTTAAAAAAGAGTAGGCTCCACGTGGGCAACAATACCACCAAAAAGAAAATAGGGGGAGACTATACATTAAAACATCACGAGGATGGTGCTGCAGGAGAAATGAATGGTCAGAAGCAAAGAGGTGTTGAAATTTTTACCCTTCTCACTTTTGTTACATGAGGAGCAAGATGCGGAAACTATAGAGTGAAATACAAAGAGTGGGTAGTGCATGAAAAAGTGGTGGTGTTGAGTAGAAAATGGTCCTGGAAAATGTGACGCAAATTAAATGCAATGCACCTTTATACTTGATAATCTTTCACGAGTGATTAGTGTAACAAAATAATTAAAGAGAATGCCAGGGAAAAAGGGAGTTCAGAATGTGTATTACCCTTTATTGCAGTTAAGAAACAATTCTTAAAGTTCAATTATGACAGTAAAAAAGAAAAATTTGGAAAAGAATTAGAAGAGAAAAGTAATCAGGGAAAGGTTTAGTGAGAGTGATCACCTTGCATAATGACATGAAATCGTGGTCAGTTTCTCTGTCTCCTAGACCCAAATCTGGCAAATTCGTGCCAAATTCCTTCAAGATGGCGGCCCTTTTGTGTTCTCCGACGAGAACTCCTGGTTTAATGGTGAACCCAGTTGCCCTGCCTGACTTCGTCACTTCCAGCTCAGTTCCAATAACCTTGTCAGCTCCTAAAAATGTCTTGACAAACGGCTCCACCATGATCCTAGGATTCGCGGTGATAATATACCTCTTGCCGAAGGAGCTGAAAACCCTCCAGCTCTCAGGATGAACATCCTCAGCATAGAACTTGGGCAGGACAGATCTCGAAACGAGCTCTATGTCTTTCACTTTTAACCCCGCAAAGGTGATGAAAATGAAGGTGTTAATGGCCACAGATTCAGAGATGAACAAGTACGTCAAATACACAAACGGGACCGATACTAAGAGAACAAGTGCTCTCACTAGGCTGCCAGCTTCCAGAGCAACCAGCATGAAATAAGGGAAAGCACTCCGTGACAAAAGAAGAGTGCCATCCAAGTCCGCAGCCACCGTCTGATTCGATCTTCCCTCGTTGCTGCATTTCGAAATTGGCTCGAAACGACGGTGAGCCCCCATGACCATGGAAAGTAGAGAGGAAGGAGGATGTGAGACTTTCTATAATTTACGTACAACTTATGAAGAGAGAGATGGCAATTGGCAGTTGGCAATTGGCAATTGGCAATGATGCTATATATGTAGCACGCAAATAATACCATGTGCTTGATGAGGCCGAGAAGGGCAAAAAGCAAACGTTACTGATTAAATTTATTATAATTTTTTGAAAGTGATTAACGTTTATACAAAGACATATACTTATCTATATTGGGTTTCTTTATTTTATTTTATTTTTGACGTATAAATTTGTGGGCAGTTGTGAAGAGGGGTCCGAGTAGTTGGAAGTCCATACCAACACCTACATTTTCATTCAATTAGCCTACATTTTAGTTCCCGGACGCCGGCCACGCCGCTTTATTAAATCAGTAAAAAAGCCTCCCCTGGTATGTTCTTGGCTCGAAAAGGATCTTTTGGCTTCCAAAGATAGTTTCCAGGAACTAAATTTTCTATTGGTTTCTAGTAAATTTTCTCTTCCTTCAACAAGCAAACCCAAATTATTCTTACCTGTCTCATAGATTCAAAGACAAGTTTATGGAAAAAAAACTCCCCATTTGCTTAAACCCAAGAATGATTTGTGCAAAGTCAAGTGATAGTGTACCAAATTTAGGTTAGAAAGTTAAGCTCTCTCTAAACTAAATATTAATTAATACTAATTGAATTGGTCCAATTTATGATATCTTTCTGGATTTGCAATGAAGTTGACTACTTACAGTGTGGGTTTTTGGTATACTCCATGGTTGATTGAGGAGAGGCAGAAAGAAGGATATGGGAAACATTAAATTCTTGTATGGATGGCATTGGTAGGGATTGATCGGAAAGTGACCAATAAATAGCATGTGGCTTTGATGATATGCAGTGTAAGAATAAAAAAAGGATATGGCTAGTTTAATTTCTGGGTGTAACACATTGAATTCGATAGATCTTAGGGGAAAAGAAAACAGCTGGATGGGGTGCTGCTTTTCAACAGTCGAGGCAGATGGAAGGTAGCTTCTTGAAGGGCCGATGAGATTTGCTTGACCTTACGCAATGCAATTACTATCCAATTGAGCATGGAAAAGACCTGTAATGGGTAGCGATTGACATCAGCCGATATCCCACCCTCTTTTTCCTTCCAATGGGCTGCATGCTTAAAGAGCTGATAAGAATTGCTTGACCTTAATCACTGCAGTTACTACCCAACTGAGCATGGGAAAACACTTGTGTAATTTATTGGTTCTAATGGGTTGATATTGACATAAACCGAAATCCCACCCTCTTTTTCCTTCTCTTGGCTAATAAGAAAGAGGGGGTTACATTAAGAGCAATTAAAACCCACAGTTTTGGGTAAAACCCAAAGTAAATTGGTATTTTTTTTTTTTGGAATGCAATTTGTGTTTTTATTAAAGCATGATTTTGTCGTTGAAGGTTAGGAAACTTGTTGGGCTTTTGTTTTTCTTCCTTCCTACATTTATTAATCTGCTCCCAACGACTCCTGCAACCCCATGAACTATCCAAGAGGGCAGAGAACCAATTTGGAGAAAATTGGATTAATTAATTGTAATAATCAATGAGAAATTAATTGGAAGTTTGGAACATTTTTTTAAAAAAAATCATCCTGTGGTTTCCCCAACAGTCATGGAAAGTGAAGTAAATAAACATTTAATGCACTTTAAGATTTATCCCCCAAAAAAAAATAGGTAGCAATGAATAAAGGGGAAAAAAATATCCAAACATATTAATTACATAACTGTTGCTCAATTATAATGCCTAGCATGCAATTAATCTAGTCTGTACCTTTAGATAAGAAAAAGAAGTAATCATTCAATTTTACTTTCTTTTTTTTTTATCTTGTTGAAATTTAGTTGAATTTGTATTCCCATTGTAATTCTTTTACATTTAAAAGATATTTTATTTAATAATATTATAATATTATATAATATATATATATATATATTGAGTGATATATATGTTATGAATTTTATATTAATAAGAGATGAGACAAGTTTTGAACTTATAAATAAAAACTTTTCTTTAATCCATAAGTATGTTTTTTGATTATAAGGTTTTATATCTAAAAAGGCTGATAAATTATAGTATATATTTTGTAGCTAACATTGTCCAGGAATTTATAATGAGTAATAGCATGTTTCGTGTGTTGCCATTTCTTTCAATATACCTATTCTTAGGAACAATTAATATTAACCAAATTACAAAATAAAGGTCAAAAGCAGCCATACACATAGCAGGAGTCAATCTCAAAAGCCAAATAAAACCAAAATAATATTCAAAAGTCCAAAGAAATTGTCCTTAGAGAGCATGGTCATGCGATTAGTTAGGGTTAAGCCAACTGATTAACTTAAAAATCAAGGCTAAAATTAATTAATAAAATAAATATATACATAAATATATTCAATCTTGTTTTTTTATTTAAATGTCATCATATTTATCAAAATCAAATATATTTAGTTTGGTGTATTAATATCTTGTACTACGTAAACACTAATGACCCAATGTGATATTGATCAACACATATTAATGTAATTGAATAATTATGGTCATAATCCTATAATGAAAAAGTGTTCCTTGAATTTAAAGAGAGAAAGCGAAAGGGTCAATGTGCTCAAAATATAATTAATTTGGACTTACAAGAAGACTATAAATTTAATTAATAAAAACAATTTGGTCAAAAAATACACATACAACTTACAATTAATCTTATGAGATTGTTTTTTTATTAATTATACACATTCAATCTTGTTTTCTTATTAAATGTCATAATCGCGTTATTTAAGATTTTTTAAATGTTCAAATATATCATATATATTTTGCTAAATTAATTTATTGTACTACAATAAAAACAAAGGACGATCAACGTGACATTGATCAACATGTCTTATGTGATTAAATAATCATGATCATAATCTTAATATGAAAAAGTGATGTTTGAATTTAAAAAAAGTAAAGGGTTCGATTGGTTCAAAATATTATTAATTAAGACCGACGAATGAAAGCTAAATAGAAAGGTTTAGCACAACTAACAAAGCGGCCTAGTTGAGGAAAGGCCCTTTTCATTTTCTTTATCCAATAATCATGAATAATGTTGACATTTTGTTAAACCAATCTTTCTGTTTTGATCATTTAGGTACATTCGAGTCACATTCTAAGGATCAATGAACCCCTCATTTTAGTTGTAATGTCGCTCTATTAGGAGCATATCATGGAGTTACTTAAGGGCACCTGCCCCTCCATCATTGGGTCTTACCTAACTAATCGGCTTTCCAATGCCCTTTTCTTTTCAATACAATTGATTTCATAATCAAAGCAACCGATTTGGTTCTAAGTTCTAACCCTTGGTTACCCATAGTAATTCCCATTATCTCTAATTCTAGTTTTATTAATTTGTTCTCATCATCTTGAAACCCACGAGTGATGACAATCACTTTATTAGTTTTTTTTTTAAATCGTTTTTTGTTTTTCACGCGTCAAATATGTTCTTGCAATAGTAATGTTATAAAAAAATTTAAAAAATACTTTGAATTAATCTCGTATCTTCTTGTGACTGAGTAAAAAAAATTATAAGTCAAATTTGTATTTTATTAAATTTCATTTACTTGATATTTTTATATTTTTGTAAAAATAAAAGTATCGACCAAATGAAATCTTAAAACGATATAATATTTCTAAAAAAATGCAGGAATCTCGAATTCCTCAAGGGAACTAATTACACATTCATGCGTAACTATTTAAACCTTAAATTAACTTCCATAAATCCATTCATACATAAATTACACGTTAATTGAAAATTAAGTATAATTAAATTAAATTTCCATGATAAAAAAAAAGGGGAATTTTTACTCAAAACTTTTAAAATAGTCCTTTGACTATATATTGTTTTTGAGTTTATTGTTAAAAGAGAGAGTCAATTCAATTTGATAGCAATAAACACCATTTCTTTTTCTGATAAGTTATTTTCCTTGTACTTTATTGGAAAGGAAAGTAGTCATTTCAATATAATATAAGGATGCACATCAAACCCTTAATTGTTTTGATAATTACATAAGTTATTTCATATAAAATCCAAGGCTAATGGCCTCTAAATAAATTAATGATTATCAGTCATTTTCCCTTAGCTATCAAGAAAATCTTTTTCTTAGAGAGAAAACCATTAAGAAATCCATAATCAATAAAAATATATTTAACAAATTTGAGTATTTGATAATAGCAACAAACCAGCCCACAAGGAGGCAACCTGACCATGGCCCAATGTTGCAATGGCTTGTCATAGAGATCTTAGTTACCATACAAAGCCCAATAATCTTTGATTGTTTTGGGTTAAAAATGGCACAAATTAAAAAAAATTTGAACTCTGAAATTCACCTTGATTTATAATAGATTTCGAGGAATGCATCTTTTTTAATTATTTCATTAAAATTATTATATAATATTGACAATTATAAGTGATGGACCTTTACATAATTTTTTAACTGTAAGATTGAAACAAAAAGAATTGCAGCTGGTGAAATGTTCCCCTTCTATACGTATTCTTGGATCTTGGTCAACATCTCACAAGCCTGATACAACACACCTTGTGACCCCATGTCACAAGCAAATTATGATGTATGATGTTTCAATATGTGCCCATGATAAATGTCTTAACTTACCTGGCCACTACATCATCAGATTCCAGTGCAGCTGCAATTGATGTCGAGACTGAGTCTGATATGATATCCCAAAGCACAGAAGAGAAGCACACGCTGCTGCAGCAAAGATCAGAAGAGGAACACAAAGCTGCTGGTGTCTTTAACAGGATTCAAATGCAGGTGAGTTTGGAGGGGAATGTAATAGCACAAATTAAGCTATCTTGACAGATTCAAGTGCAGCTAGCCGAGATACACGGAAGTTGACAGATTCAAATGCAGCAGATAATGAAGCTTTGTCTCAAAGCTGAATTCAGGTTAATCCAATGTTTATCTGATCTTTAATCCAAGTAATTTAAACACGTAAACTCCTCTTTGCTTCCTCTCTTGGAGAACTCAAAATTTGAGTCTCTTCTTATTGGCTGCAAACTACTTGGTTATGTCTCCCT